AGGGGAAGGGGAAAGGAAAGAATGGAAAGGAACAATTATGAGAAAAGAAAAAAAAATGGAAATGAAGTATGTAAATAGGGAAGGGTGAAGGGGTGAAGGGCGCACAGGTAATGGGGAAAAAATGAGAATCAAGATACATCATGTACAGGTGCAAGCTCCCAAAGATAAATGTAAATGTATTGTGTACCTAAAATGTACCAATAAAAGAATTTAAGAAAAAAAAAACTTGCAGAAAAAAAAAAATTCTCAGGGAGGGCAGGGTGAGTGCCCAGGGTGGGTGGAGGGGAAGGCAGGGAGGCTCCATGTGGCTACCAGTGATGCCCACCTGTGCCTGGGCTGGGAGCTTTGTTTGTGACTGAGGAAGACCACAGAGAGGTACACAGTGTTTAAAGGACGTTTTATTGTCATTAAGAGAGAACTTACAGGATATCAGAGGCTCCAGAACACTACAAGAAGAAGAAAGCTACAAAGCTGAACTGAGCTATTCCCTGGGCTTTTCCCGCAGCATGGAGTGGTGTCTGGTTTCCTTTCCTGCTTGTGTCATTCTTCCTGACTGGAGGCTCTGGCTTGGAATCTTCCCCATGCTGGACAGGACCATGGCACACGGGTCCTCTGTCCAGTGCCAGCCCAGCCCTGGCTCCTGGGCCACTGGGCTCTCTCTGTGGTATCTTGTCCAGCTGGGGTTTCCTGGTTTAAGTGCTCTGGAGTGGACACTGGTCCTGCAGGACAGGCCTGGTCGAGCCTTGGTGCTTTCAGCAGCTGTCCATCTGTCCCTTTGTTGGGACAGGTGCTCTTGGGCCTCCTCTGTCCCTGAGACCCAGAAGGCTGTGTCTGGCCTGCCTGGGGCCAGCCCACTAGACCACTCCTGAAGCATGGATGGTGGCAGTCACCCTTTCCTGCTCCTGCTGGGGTTCTACAGTCACTGTGTGGCCCAGACCCTCCATTGAGTGTCTCCTAGGAGTGGTGCTGGGTCCACTGTGGAAGGTGGTAGTGTCTTGGGTCCAGCTCTTTATCACCAGTGTATAGAGAACTGGGTAGGCGGTCCCTATGGGTTGGATCCAGCAGTCTGTAATGTGGGCCCTGAGGATCAACAACAGTACACAGGGTCCCTGTCAGAGGACACAAGAGGGAAATATAAGCCATTGCTCAGGCCAAGGTCTGCAGAGGTGCCCAGCACAGATATGCTATGCATGGGCTAGCAAAGTCCATCGGGTGACTGTCAGCAGCCCTTTCAAAGCCCCTGCTGGGTGGTGATGCCCATGCCTGCTTGCCTGGGGTGCCACAGTCTCTGCAGAGCATCACAGCCTCACCTCTCTCAGAGATGCCCTGTGCTAGGGAGACTGGTGTGGACTCGGTTAGATCCAAGGCTGGTCTCCATCTAGATGGACACGGACAATGCTGGGAGCTGCCTCCTCCTGGGTGACCACCCTGCTCATGCAGGCAGGGATGTCCCGGGGAGAGAAGCTGTGTCCCTTGTTTGCCTCAGTCAGCATCATGGTGGCAGCTGTGGGTGTGGCACATGTCCATGCTGGTGTGGTTGGGCGTACCTGCTATCCATGAGTCCTCCAGCGCAGGGAGGGTGGGAGCACAGTGTCACTGAACCACAAGGTCAGAGGGCAGCGAGGAAGGTGTGAGGAAGGTGGTCTGAGGAAGGTGTGACCCTGGGGGTTGGGTTGGTGGAAGCAATGGATTCAATCATGGAAGGGCTTGGGAAGCCTGGGCCCCTTGAGGGGTTGGGCCTAAGCCCCCTGCCTGATCACATTCCTGTAGTCAGGGGCGATGGTCTGCTTCAGTTCCAACATGGAGGAGAAGATCCACTTTACCTGTAGGAACAGCGGGTGAGCACCATGGGATGCCACCACAGCCAGTGGGACCATGGGGACAGGGTGAGGATAGAGCAGACTAGGGTGGAGACAAGGGAGCGACAGGTTTGAGGACAACATTTGGATAGATTTGGGGACAGTGCAGGTACAGCATGGGAATGATGTGCTGATAGCATGGGGAAAACAACATAGGGACAGTGTGGGGACAGTCTGAAAAGACAGCATGAGTTATCATGAAGGTGGTGGCAGACATAACGGGGAGAGGACTGGGAAAGCAAATGCAACATCACGGAGGCATGGTGGGGACACTAGGGAAAGCAGTACGGGACATCAGGACAATTTGAAATAGGAGATGTCATGCGGACAGCATGGGGACAGCAAAGGAAAACTGTGTGGGATGTTATGGGGACAGAGGGGCACAGAGTGGGGAACATTGCGTAGAAACATCAATGGGACAGCATGGGTCAGCATGGGGCATTGTGGGACACTTAGAGTGTTCACATGAGAACAGAGTGGGCCATTGTGACATAGATGAGCCAGCCTGGGCTGTTTGAGGACAGCATGGATCAGTGTGGGCCATCACAGGGACAGCACGGGTAGCATGGGCATTGGGGGCAGTGTGCCAACCTTGAGGAGGGTGACCGTGGCGCTGTAGCACACGCTGAGCAGGAAGAGGGTGATGAAGATGGTGATGGTTGTCCACAGCCCATCCAGCTCCCCATCCAGCTCCCCATCCAGCTCCCCATCCTGGGCCTCAGCACAGCTCTCATCAAAGTCCAGCCCTGGACAGGAGGAGGTGGTCTGTGTGTGTCCCCCAGTCGGGTGCTGGGCCACTCCCTGCGCAGTGAGTGATGTGGTATTGCCAGGAGGCCAGGGAGAAGGGGCCATCCATGCCTGCCCTGGCCAGCTCTCCTCAGCCACCCTCCCTGGACAGCAGCCTTGGGCCCGCTGAGTCTTCTTCTGGGCCTGAGCTTAGCCAAACACTGCAGGTGGAATGGCAGGCATCCTGAACTGCATGGACCTCTCTCTGTTTGCTCCAGGCTTCACCATCAGAGTGGCTGGGCAGTGTCGGGGTCTGGCACACCACAGGCTGTGGCTCTGAAATCTGCCTGGCCCTCTGCCTGCTCTCTGGTGAACAGACAGGCGTTGGAGAGATGGCAGGATAGAGCTGGTGGTGACAAATGTGTCCTCATGTGGGTTCGGAGGCCTAAGTGTCAGGAGTGGGCAACTTGTGTGTAGGGGAGGCTACAAGAGGTCTTGTCAGTGTGTGCATAATGAGGTGTGAATGTGGGGGTGGGGTGGGTGCTGTGCGGGCTGCCCGTAGGCCCAGGGTATTAGGTGTGCACATATGTGCATGTGTGTCCACAGGTGTGTGGCCAGCATGGGCTGGGGCTGCTCAGCAGACTTGTTCTAATAGGTCTGGCTCAAGCTCTCATGGATGCCTGGACTATCTTCTCTTGGGGTAGCCAGGGTGGCATCTCAGCCATTCAGGAGCACAGGAGTGTGCGTCCCCAAGGGTGTTCAGTGTCCCCATGAGTGGGCAGAGTCCCCAGGGGTGGCTAGCTTCTCCATGGTTGGGCAGCATCCAGTGTCCCCAGGGGTGGCCAGCCCTGTGCAGGTGAGGGGGTCATGGAGGCCTTGTCCCACAGCCATGGCTTGCCGTCTCTGCAGTGGACAGAGAACCTAAGACAAGAACTTAGAGGGCAAGGACAGGCTGTTACAGAGACAAGTCTGAGTGTTCCTTCCTGTGGGACTCCCTAGGGAGCTGCTGGCAGCTGGAGAGGGGGCCTGGGAGAAGGACAGCTATGCCATGCCTGTCTCTGTGAGGGCAGACACACACTGTGGTCCTCTCATGCAGACAGCTGTCTGTCCCTAATGACTACAGTGCAGGCTTGGCCCCTGCCTGACCCATTAACCATGGCCCCATGCCACAGGCCTTCTGTCTCGGAAAGAACCAGGATAGCGTCGCAGGGTCCCAGGCAGTGCTGGGTGTTTTATTTATATGGGTGTTTGGGGGACAGGGTCTTACAGGACTCTAGAGCCTGCAGATTAGTGAGGGCTTGCTGGACACAGCACTTATTTACCCAGAGAACGGGAGATGGTCTTCTCTGTGAGGTGGTTATGCAGGGCTTCGTGCAACACTGAGCAAGTAAAGACGTTTCCCTGTTCCCACTGGCTCTTGTTCACAGTGAGCTTGCTGTAGAGGAAGTAGGAGTTGTCAGTGTCCTTCATGGGTGGGGTGGTCTTGTAGTCCTGTATATTCACTGGATGCCCATTGCTCGCCCACTCCACGTGGATGTCAGAAGGAAAGAAGTCAGTGATCAGGCAGGTCAAACTGACTTTGTCCTTGGACAGCTCCTCTTGGGGTGGGGGCAGGATGTACACCTGTGGCTCCTTGGGTTTCCCTGTGGGGATCGAGGTCAACATGTGTTCAATGCTGGATGGAGGGCTGGCCAGGGAGGCTCTGTTTGACTCCCACAGTGCCAACTGTCCTCCCACCTGCCTACAACCCACTCCCACCTTTGACTTTGGAGATCGTCTTCTGGATAGGGGTTGGGATGGCATTGCTGTTGACCTTGCATGTGAACTCTTTGCCCTTCAGCCAGTCCTGGTGCAGGATTGGAAGGACACTGACCACGCGAAATGTGCCATTGAATTGCTCTTCCCGGGGCTGTTTCTCCGCTGTGTTCACCTGCACGTCATCCATGTACCAGGTGAACTCAACCTCAGGATCTTCCTGGCTCACATCTACTACAACACAGGTGATCTTGGGGGTCAGGGAGATCATGAGCGTGTCCTTGGGTCTTGGGGGGAAGATGAAGACAGATGGTCCTCCCAGGAGTTCAAGAGCTGGTGTGAGAGACAGAGGAGACAGATCAGCACAGGGGGCCATCTGACATGGCCTCCTCCAGATGTTTATCTGTCTCTCGGGGTAGAGGAGGAGGGCTGGTGACTTACTTGGGCACTTGGGACAGGGGGTGCAGTGGGACTGGTTGGTATCCCGACGGTCTGCAGAGAGAAAGATGGGGTTATTGGGGTTGGAGGAGAGAAGGTGCTGTGCCAAGGAGGGAAGTGTTGGGCCCTTGAGGTGAGCTCAGTCAGGCCCAGGCTGTCCCCCGGATATGGCTCTTGGTAGGCCTGATGCCAGTGGCCATCTGCCTATGTCCCATAGACAAGCCATCCAGCCTGCACCCACCCTGGGCCTGGTGCAAACCCCCAGAGGACATCTCCCTGAACATGAGTGTGGGCAGAGGCCTCTATGCAGGAGACAGACAGGAGTTTCCCCGTGCCCATGGTGGATACACTCAGGAAGGCTGACCCAACACTTGGCTTCCAGGGGACCTGGATCTCCTTGGGAACTGTCCTTACCAACGACCTTGTCCACCTTGGTGCTGCTGGCCGGGTGGGCTAC